CGAAGAAGATCCTAGGGCTCCATTCTTCCCTATATCACTAACACGTGTCTCGAGGCACGACACTTGTGTTAACCGATTCTACTTGAGAGCTAAACCAGACGAGGAAACTTAGACTTATGTAAAAACAGAAAGCTCGTGAAAAGAGTCCGTTTTCTAAGAAGTCTTTAGAAAAAAAAAATAAATGCTTCTCTCTACCGTATGACATATGTCGGTACTTTTTTTCCAGACACCGAAGACTAACAGTATTTAAAATTTAGTTGAGCTGACAGTTGAATTTTCTGCCAATGTCCTGATACATGTCCTATCAAATTTTACCTGCTAAAAATTAAAGCCCTGGTCTTTTTGTCTAACATTTTCCTCTGGGATAAAGTGGAACCACTATATTAAATCAGTTGCTTAGTCTGCTGGTAGGAAAATTACTTCACAATGTCGTTCAACAGAAGTAGGAAGGTCTATCATTTGTCGTTCAAATGTCTCGTTCAATTTCCCTCGACAGAAGCTATCTTGCGCTTTTATAGGTCTATCATTCGTGTCGTTCAAGAAATCATGGCTATCGTTCAAGACAATTTCCATCGACAACATCGAAGCTATCTTGCGCTTTTATAGGTCTATCATTCGTGTCGTTCAAATCTGGCTCGTTCAAGACAATTTCCCTCGACAGAAGCTATCTTGCGCTTTTATAGGTCTATCATTCGTGTCGTTCAAATCTGGCTCGTTCAAGACAATTTCCCTCGACAGAAGCTATCTTGCGCTTTTACGAGAAGCTATCTTGCGCTTTTATAGGTCTATCATTCTTGTGTCGTTCAAATCTGGCTCGTTCAAGACAAATTTCCCTCGAAGAAGAAGCTATCTTGCGACTTTTATAGGTCTATCATTCATTCTTGTCGTTCAAATCTGGCTCGTTCAAGACAATTTCCCTCGACAGAAGCTATCTTGCGCTTTTATAGGTCTATCATTCTTGTCGTTCAAATCTGGCTCGTTCAAGACAATATTCAACAGGACTATCATTCGCTTTTTATAGGTCTATCATTCTTGTCGTTCAAATCTGGCTCGTTCAAGACAATTTCCCTCGACAGAAGCTATCTTGCGCTTTTATAGGTCTATCATTCTTGTCGTTCAAATCTGGCTCGTTCAAGACAATTTCCCTCGAGAAGCTATCTTCTTTATAGGTCTATCATTCTTGTCGTTCAAATTCAAGACAATTTCCCTCGACAGAAGCTATCTTGCGCTTTTATAGGTCTATCATTCTTGTCGTTCAAATCTGGCTCGTTCAAGACAATTTCTATCTTCGATCATTCTTGTCGTTCAAAGAAGACAATTTCTTATCTTGCGCTTTTATAGGTCTATCATTCTTGTCGTTCAAATCTGGCGTTCAAGACAATTTGGAAACAGATTAGTTTATCTTGCGCTTTTATAGGTCTATCATTCTTGTCGTTCAAATCTGGCTCGTTCAAGACAATTTCCCTCAACAGAAGCTATCTTGCGCTTTTATAGGTCTATCATTCTTGTCGTTCAAATCTGGCTCGTTCAAGACAATTTCCCTCAACAGAAGCTATCTTGCGCTTTTATAGGTCTATCATTCTTGTCGTTCAAATCTGGCTCGTTCAAGACAATTTCCCAGACATCTTGCGCTTTTATAGGTCTATCATTCTTGTCGTTCAAATCTGGCTCGTTCAATTTCCTCAAGAAGAATCTTGCGCTTTTATAGGTCTATCATTCTTGTCGTTCAAATTTTTATAGGTCTATCATTCTTGTCGCTTTTCAAATCTGGCTCGTTCAAACAATTTCAAGACAATTTCCGAAACAGAAGCTATCTTGCGCTTTTATAGGTCTATCATTCGTGTCGTTCAAATCTGGCTCGTTCAAGACAATTTCCCTCGACAGAAGCTATCTTGCGCTTTTATAGGTCTATCATTCGTGTCGTTCAAATCTGGCTCGTTCAAGACAATTTCCCTCGACAGAAGCTATCTTGCGCTTTTATAGGTCTATCATTCGTGTCGTTCAAATCTGGCTCGTTCAAGACAATTTCCCTCGACAGAAGCTATCTTGCGCTTTTATAGGTCTATCATTCGTGTCGTTCAAATCTGGCTCGTTCAAGACAATTTCCATCGACAGAAGCTATCTTGCGCTTTTATAGGTCTATCATTCGTGTCGTTCAAATCTGGCTCGTTCAAGACAATTTCCCTCGACAGAAGCTATCTTGCGCTTTTATAGGTCTATCATTCGTGTCATTCAAATCTGGCTCGTTCAAGACAACACTTTGCGCTTTTATAGGTCTATCATTCGTGTCATTCAAATCTGGCTGGCGTTTCCCTCTGGCGTTTTGCTTTTTTTTGAATTAATAATTTGCCTAGGAACGTCCTCTAATCTATGTAGATAATATCACATTTTAGGGAAACATCAGAACTTTGTAGCTGATCTACCCTCTGATCTTGCTCTAACAGCTCAATTCGGTTAAAACTGGTTTGTAACTTTCAATACCTCAAAAAACAAAAAGCTAGTTTTTCTCTTCACTGTTCAGACTTCAGCAAGCCGTTGCCCGCTCAGAGATTTTCTCCGCTTTGTGCGTCTATTGGGAGTCTCGCTAACACCATACATCAAGTTGAACTCATATATACGTTCCATTTTGCTAAAGCTATTGGGAAAATGGCTGGCTCATTTTACCTGTATAGAAAGTATCTGATTGCTACAGCTATACTTTATCGTTGCAAGAGTCAAGAAAATAACTTGAGCAATGCTGCCATATCTGAACTGGAGCAAACCTGTCCTCACATTCCAACCTTAATAGAGCTCACGCAGTCTTGTTGGGGACGAGTTATTCTCCAGTCTCTAGCTTCTTACCCTACAAGCGCAACGTTGCACACAACTCTCTACTTTATGGTTATTTCCATGGCAAATGTCCAGATGACCTTCATTCTTTGTTTCTACCAGTTCAGACATTTACTTAGGACACAGCATGCTACTTTTACGGCGTCAAACCTCCTTGATTTTCTCCCGTGTTCCAAACGCCCCCACCACCACTCAGACAGACTTTTCCCAAGAACTGCTACTCTGTAGAACAAACTCCCACTTGGATACTTCCTAACGACTATAATCTTGACCACTTCAAAATAAAGGATCACTCGCATTTTGGCTCATTTTCCTCATATTCTTCACTTCTTATATACTATGTTGTCCTGGGTAAGACGTTAAACTACGTCCAGCAGCAAGGCCTCTAATCGGGAGATTGGCGGTTTGAGGAGCGTGGAACCACCTCCTAATTGCTGGTGTTACCAGGTCCACCCTGACCCCGGGTAGTAGCACCTGTCAGGAACCAAGCTATGAGTAAATAGTTAACTATTACCAGCAATAAATTTTTGTAAAAACAATTATTACCAGCAATACAATTTTGAAGAAAAAATATTACCAAAAACAGATTTTTGACAAAACAAAGTATTAACAGCAATAAAAAAAAATGTCGGCATTAAATAACCCATTGAGGTTGATATGACGTAAAACAAAATAAACCAAACCAATCTAAACCAAAGAATGCATATTCTATTCATACGAATCTATCCTATAAATGTTGTCGGCATTAAATAACCCAGTGAGGTTGATATGCCGTAAAACAAAATAAACCAAACCAAAACCAAACCTATCTACCTTGGGTGGCTCTCGAGACTTTTTGTTGTGTGAAGCTTTAACTTCTCCACGTGTGTATACATTAGACAGTGCTAGAAACAGATATAAAGTTCTTTTTTTTATTGCAATGCATGTTTAATCGTATCTGATATGGTTCTACCTTGGGTGACTCTCGAGCCTTTTACTGCGTGATGTGATTTTTTTCTCTTCTACGGGTGTTTAAAAATTATGCAGTGCTAGAAAGTGATATATAGTTTTTCTTTTATGTAGCAATGCATGTTTAATCATATCTGATCATGTTCTACCGCGGATGATTCTGGAGATTTGTGTTTAAATCTTTCTCGTCTATGTGTGTGCATAAAGTAGACAGTGATAGACACAGATATGAGGTTGTCGTTTTTTATCGCAATGCATGTTTAATCATATCTGATCTAGTTTTTTTCTTTTTTTAATTTATTTACAGGCATTCAAATTTATATTTTTTAATTACATATATATATATATATATATATATATGATTGCGCATGTATTGCCTTTGTTCATTAAAAAACACTAGCCTTCATCTCAGATCATTAATTACGTTCTTTGGTTTGATAGTGAAAGCATTTGAAAACCACTTTAAATTCCTGACCGCCCGACTATATAAATAATTCTTATTACATGTTTGACATGGCGTCATAACTATCAGATACAAAAGCGCAGTTAAAAGAAACAAAAAGCAATAAAAAAAAATCTTGATGCTATCGGACGAATCATCTTGGTTATAGCTGCACCCCTCACCTTTTTTTAATAAAATAAATGTTTATGCATTTTTTCAATTAATTTATACGATTTTTTTTTTTTTTTGATAGCTCTTGTTTCCTATAAAAAGAAGTCCCCTGTTGCCAAACAACAACCAGACCGCTCAGAGTCCGCTGTGCGTTTTTTTTGCACTGTGCTTCTTAACTCTGATCAGCCATCTCTTAGTCAGCTGGAGGCGCCGTGGTTCTGGACACTAATCAAATCTCATCATGGCGACGAGATCAATTCCAGTTTTAATCTTTGTCATGTCTTTCACGTATCTCTGCTGCGAAGCAAGATTCCGTCTGAAAAGAGATACACTAAAGAATCTCGTTGCTCCCAGACCGACTTATGCTATCAATCATTTGGTTCCAAATGACGGCCAATATGTCAGCAGTAATAGACTCCAGGAACTGATGAGACGCGCATCTGGTATTTCCTCAAAAGATTCTGGTGAAACAAATAGCTTGATGAAAACAGCATCAAGAAAATTTCCTGCTAAACGAAAACGTTTGATAAAACTTTCAAAACCGCTTCTTGCACCGGAAAGATATCCTGTCGATAGCCTCGGCCATAGAGTGTACCTGGGACGGAGAACCATGTTACCTAATTTTCAACGGTCGGGCTCACTAATCACGATTCCCTACCGGCGTTTTGCTATCCCTTATAATCAGCCATCTTTTCGAAAAAGCCGACTTACAAGGGATGTTAGCGGTTTAAATCAAGATAGCAGTGAATCAAGCGAACTGAATATGAGAGATGAAAGTGAAAATAGCAGCGAAGAAAGTATGGAAGATAACACATCCAGCAGCCTGGGAAAACGTGGCCTAAGAAGTAACGCCATGCTGCCGATATACCAACAACCGGAAGTGAATCCCTTTGAAACGATGAAAAATATAGAACACAAAGATTTTTCTACAAATCATGGCGGCATGAACAAAGAAGCCGATGACTCTTCAACTGGCAACGCCGACGTTCATCCTCTTGATACAATTCAAGGCGGTCCTGGTAGCTACCAACATGTCTTTGTCGGCCCATCCTCTAAAAGTAATGACGCAGAGCCTCTTTATTCAAAACGTCCAGAGGATAATGACAATTCAGATGAAGATAGTCTTTCACGTGGCTTATCTGATCAAAATCCAGCCTTGATCAATGAAGATTTTCTTGTCAAAGATATCGCCTACGACCAAACAGCGGACAAAACACTTGAAGGGCAGACTTACAGAATAGCTGATTTGGATGATGGAACCTCAATGAATGGTATATACACGAACGGAGAACAAGCTAAACGTTTTAATGATGGGATGCAAGAAATAGTCAATGCTCTCGGAGGGCAATCAGCCTCAAGAGGATCTGGAAGAGGCAGAGATGATAGACGAAATGATGTTTGGACAGATGTTGATGTATTTGACTGGAAATCGCAAGCGAATGTAGAACCATCAAGTAAAAATATAGATCTTTCGAGCCATTCAGCTGAACTTACGAACGGACAAAAATCAAACGGTCCTATTGAGACAGAGTCTCTTCAAAATAATTATCCTCAAGGAGGCCCATATCTTACAAACATTAATATGTTTTCCGGACTCAGCTTAAATGACTTTAACGAAGACAAATCTCAACGAATGTTTGGTACAGCTGATAAAACGATGACATCTCCCTGGGATCAAAATGGCAAAGACTCTGCTCTCGTAAATATCGCTTTAGGAAATATGGAACCAGGAAACAAGGAACCGGCTAATAGGGATTCTAATTTAAGAAAACGTTACATGTTAGCGGAAATACCATATTTTAAAACATTTGGATTTAAAAATGTAAATGGGAATTACAACGAAAAACAACTTGCGAAAAATGCTGATTTTTTCAATGGGAAAAATCTTGATGTCAGTGGAAAACAAATGCTTGGAGATCCTACTATGTACAACCAACGAATTTCTGAATTCACGGGTTTGACAAACGGTCGAAGTATGGCACTCCCTGGCAGTAAAACTCTTAGCAAAACAGCTGGAAAAAATGATCAAACCTTAGATAAATATATATGGGACCATCAACATAGACAACCAGTAATGGGTGAAATCACTATTTTAAATAACATCCAAAACGCCAGACCCGATCAAGGAAATCGTGAACAAATTCCTAGGCATGTAAATGCAGCACAAGGTTTGCAAGGAATGCCGAATTTAAACCGAAAGCTTACCACAAAATCTCCCAGTCTAAATAGTTATTTTGCTCCGAGTGGAAGCGGAAAGCCAGTCAATGCCAGACAGATTTTCTTGCCGCATTCGTTTCTTAGAAGTTTTTCCCAAAACGGCTTTACTCGTGGAAGTACCGATATGAATTACGTTGACAAAGTTCTCTTGCAAAGCGTCGCTAAAACTGGTGTCCCTACAACAGCCCGACACATAAGAAATAGAAATTTACCTGAATCGTTAATACGCCTGCAGATGTCGTCAAAAGCTCTTCCTTGTGGGCATAAAAACGGCGAAGGCGGATATAAATTGAAAAATAACATGAATTCTGATCAGGATCGCAAATAGAAAAACGATTATTTTAGTCCCCACCACCGTTTTGACAGGACTTTTCGAGAGTTGATGGTTGTACATGAAGACGAAAGTAAAACAACAACAAAAAAAAAAAAAATTAAATATTGCCTTCAGTAGAATTATGTTAGAAAGCGGAAATTTCGATGTTGGCGAGATGTAAAAGAAGATCTATATGTCGAAAGAAAATCAAGAAAAGCGATAAGCACATTTAACGGAAAGGACCTCAAACACGAAACCAATTAAAAGGACCCCTCACAAAAAAAAAAAAATAGTTTTCTTAAATGACCGACAGAAAGCGAAAAGAATATATAAACACTGGACTTTACGACAAACTCTAAATAAAAAAGCAAGTAGAAAAAATCTATCTTTATACTTTTTTAATTTGTAAATTTAATTAAATACATTTGCTTTGAATCTGTTTTTATTATAGTCGATATAAACTTTATGTCTATATCTATCTACACACACACATATATATATATATATATATATATATATATATATATATATATATATATATATATATCGAGAGAGAGAGAGTTGAACCGATTGGTGAAGAACAAATGTATATTCATTCTTAGTATAAATTTTAACTTTTTATTTTACATTGAATGCTGTTTTTTTTATACCACCAACACTTAATGTGCGCTATTTCAATATTTGATAGTTATATATCTATATGTATATATGTTTTATAATATATATATATATATATATATATATATATATATATATATATATATATATATATATATATATATATATATTATATGGATACAAGTTTAGTTCATAAGCATTGCTTGTTCCGTACAAGGGAATTGAACGTTGGTCAGTGACTAAGGCATTTAAGAATTGTTCAAAGATATTTGAATCGGGTACTGTTGGATATTCTTTTAGTCATCTAGAACGAATGTTGTAATGCTTACAAACAAAAACGTTGATTGTAGGTGTTAGATTCATTTTTGCTTTTTGGAGTTTTTTTTTTTTAAGGTAAATAGCACCTATAAGGATTTTTTGTTTTGTTTTGTTTCGTCTATTCTCTCTAACAGCTTAAATGTGGGAATTTAAGAACGACTCTGGGTATCAACGAAACTGTACGATCGCCATCTTTTGAACAGTTCTTAAGCGCTGACCAACGTTAAATTGTATCGAAAAACGAATGGTTACGTCAAAAGTTGTTTTTCTTTTCATTCCTTTTTGGATTTAATTCAAATTGCGTATGGAATGTTGCCTAAACACTCTCTCTCTCTCTCTCTCTCTCTCACACACACGCACACACACATATATATAATCGCTATCTTTAGACCATTGCTGTCTGGTTTTCATATATCTTTTGTTTCGTGTAAATGTGATATTTGCTGTAATCTTAGTGTTTCAATAAAAGGCAAAAATGTCATTCAAAATATCTCTTATGTCTTTTATAAGTCTACTGCATTCTTATTTTTGCTTTGTGCCGTTTTTAGAAATTATTATTTAAGCTGTTAGCATTTTATCTGTTATTATTGACAATTGATATAGAAGCAATCGGGTTTTTCTTTATTTTTGTGAAGTCCGTACACCATGTTCAGATTTCGTCGAAAGCCCATATCTGATTTTTACATTACCAGCTACACGGGTTTCAGTAGATGCCCTATTTTTTGTTTGTTTGTTTTTTTTTGTTTGTTTGTTTGTTTTTTGCTTTAAAAAAACAAGACAAAAACAGAATGAATTACGCCTGAGATTCGAGAGACAACAAAGAAAAGCCTGCGCTACGTTTGGGCACGAGCCTGCCTCGCACTTTGTAGCTGAAAACACCGTCTGCTTCGCCGTACTTTAGACTGCTCGGTCACAGAGATTGTCAAAGGTAAGCAACTTTTTGCATGTGCCTCTCTTGAATGCCGCAGGCCGGCAAACATAATTCACACTGTTTAGAAAAAGAGGGCGTCTACTCAAAGACGTGTATCCACTAAAAAAAAACGTTTACAGAAATAAGAAATAACAGCGAATGAAAAATAAAATCTATTAATTCCTTAGATTTTTTTTTAATGTTTTGGGATCAAAAATGTAAAAGCAAATATGACCTTTCGAGCCGATATGAGCTTTCGAGGGCATCTGAAAGTGATGTGCTTTTTTAAAAAATGCTAATTGAACCTTGTTGATATGTGACGCCCTTTGTGGCCGAGGGTTCTAAAGCACGGCAGATCAGAGTAGGACTTTATTGATTTGTGATGCTCTCTGTGACCGAATGGTTTAAGCACACCCAGATCAGAATTGGACAACTCACACCTTACAAAGGGTGTTATCTATGTAAATTTTTGTTTTTTTTAATTAGTCAGTGGAAAATGTCATGATGCTATTTCTGACCTTAAGTCTCTGGATGGAATCTGGAAAGAAATGAGTACACACCAGAAATCAAAGGAATAATAACAATAATAATAATAATAATAATAATAATAATAATAGAATACTCAGAGTAGAGCGCGATTTAAGAAAAGAAAAAGAGAAGAAAAGACACATGTCTGTCTTCGTCAAGTTATGCTTGTATTGTATACAAGTTTGAAAATATAGAAAATCTATAAAAAAAATATGTCTTTGTACAAACGTCGCTTGTCTTGAGAAAAACGGATGTAGTGGTAATCAACGCGTCAAAATGAATGAAACTCAGTCAGCGTGGACGGCATGCAGCTGAAAGGCTTTTAATGTGTTTCTTTCTCTCTCTTTCTCTCTCTCTCTTTTTCTCTCTCTCTCTCTCTGAAATCACGCTCTTCTCTAAGTGTTAAAAATATCTGAAGAGTTACGGCATTCATTTTGTTTGATGGCTCTCATGATTTGTGATTCTGATTGAAGGTATTAACATATATTTTTTGTCTTGGTCAATCAACATCATATTACTTTTGTTTCTTTCTTTCATGTGTTTCTTTTTTTCTTTCTTTTTCTTTCTTATCCTTTTCTTTCTTTTCTTTTATCCTTTTCTTCTTTTCTTTCTTTCTTTTCCTTTTCTTCCTTTCTCTCATTCGTGTCTTTCGTTCTTTTTAATATCTTTTAGTTTCATTCTTTCCTTTCTTACTTTTATTTTCCTTTTGCTTCATTTTTTTTCAATCTTTCTTTTTTCTTTTTCTTTCTTTCTTTCCTCGTTATCTTTTTCATTCGGTATTTTTTTCTATCTTTTCTTATCTTTCTTCTTTTTTCTATTTTTCTTTCTTTCATTCTTTTTTTTCTTTTCTTTTCTTTTTTCCTTTTCTTTCTTTTTCTCTTTCTTTCTTTCCTTCTGTCTTTCGTCCTTTCTTCTAATTTAAGTGATTCATAAACATCTTCTGTAGTAATAATAGAAATGATAATGTTGATGGTCCAATATTAGTATTTTTATACTCACTGAGCTTTCAGATCAGTTGTAACTTATAGCGTTCCTTGGAGATCAAGTGACAACATGTTTCCTCTTTTTTGTTCTTTTTTAAATCATTTAGCCCCCCCCCACGCCCCAAACAAGACGATAATGTCACTTAGACACAATGGATACTGAGAGTGAAAGAGAAGAAGACTTAGTGAGGACAATAAAAGACAGAAGACGGCGATTGACGTCGCATTTAAATTTGTGATAATCGGAGGCGATAGAAAAACAAGAAACCAGAAGAGAGTTCCACAGACGAGAATCGCGAGAAAAGAAGCTATCAGGATAGAACCTACGGTTACATCTAGCTGTTTCAGCAGTAAAATGATGAGACCTAACTGCCAATCTAGTAGTACGCTTAAACTCGTATGATCGGGTTACCAAGAAGTAGATCTCGTTCGAACAATTGCCATAAAAAGTGACAGTTGTAGGAAAGTAGCTGAAGTCGAGATGCCGGGTCAGAACTAGTAACATTGCAGATTCTTTTGGGGAATTTGTCGTGAATCTCGAGATATATAGCCGGAACACCAGACCAGATATGGTAGCAATATTCAATGCACCGGCAAATGGTAGATTTATAAATGTGCAAGGTGGTTTCTGGCAAGAAAAATTGTCTAGCGCGACATAGTAGACCAACTTTCCTAGCCACAGGCTTTTTTCTTAAACATTTCACTTACTTAGAGCCACTAAGACGCACGGATTTACTGAGTGTGAGCGAATACGAGGAAAAAAAAAAACACTATGAAGAAGGGATGACAAGAAAAGAACAGGAATTAAAGCGGGAAAAGATAACGATTGACGTTGCATTTAAATTTTTGAAGATCAAAGTTGACTGGAAAGCAAGAAGCTGGAAGAGAGTCCCACACGTGAGAAGTGAAAAAGAAGAAATTACTAGCATAGAACTTACGGTTACATGTAGCCTTTTCAACTGGAAAATGCAAAAATCTCTCATTTGATTCAATATAATCATTCTACTTCAGGTGAAAAACATGACACCAAGAAGGCACAATCAGTTGCTCTCCTGGAAGTTGATTACGACCATATCACGTTGAAACACCAGTACCCGCACGATTATCAAAGTTAAGCAACGTCGAGCCTGTTAAGTAACTAGATGGGTGATCTCTTGAGAATACCAGGTTCTGTAAGCTTGGATGTGCGGGTGGTGTAATGGATAATGGTTCGGAGTTCCAATTCCAGTCGGGTTCGTTAAATTCACTTGCGCGCAAATACCCTTGAGAAAAGTTTGAATCAACCGTTTATAGGTCAGTTAGTAAGACTTATATTACTAAAACCGTTATTATCTAAAAAAAATATTCTTACAAAATAAAAATATTTCCTGGCTTTAAATAACCTGCAAAAGACTGATAAGCCGTAGAAAACGAATTAATCCATCAATCTCCTGGAGGTTAGCAGTATCCATGCTGATGAAAGGCAAAAATGGTTTTCTATGATGATTAAAAGAAAGAAATTTCGTTTTGGAGGCGTTAAAATTTACAAGCCATTCCTTGCCCCAGTTAACAACTGATTGAATGTCATTTTTTAGATCAGTTGACAATTTTACTTTGTCGTATCTATCGTACTTAGTATTAAAACAAGAGAAAATACTTGTGTCATCAGCAGAAATGCCGTGAAGCACCTTCATTATCCTAGTTAATATCAAGTTTGTTTTTTTTTTTTTAATCCTCTTCAAAATCATTGAAGCTCATCTTCAATGTACACCGTTTTCTTCATATTCTAGTATTATTTCTTTTTTTTTTAAGGGTCGATTTTTTTGCCCTAGCTTTTAATTTATCTTCTACAACACAGTGATCCGTCGTTTGCGCATGTGCTACCTTTCCCAACCACTCATATTTATTTATGTATTCTATCTGTTTCCATGCATTTGCTTATTATATAACATTGTTCGCATCTACTTTCTTTTTTTATGTGTCGTGTCTCTTCAGGCGTCGGAGATCATGGTTCTCCACGATTTCTATCCAGGACCACAATGCTTTTAATTTTCCTTTTACGGTGATCTCCCAACCATTGTCCTGTCAAGCTCGTTAGGTAGATTAGTCGATAGTTCCGGTGTCCTTTATCGTGTGAGTGCCAAATTCGCCAAGCCTTCTTTCCTCATTATGCGTCGCAGAAATTTCAACGGCTTACTGTTCAAAGTCCTAGAAATGGAGCCTAACGCGTCAGCGATAATGGGGACTATGGTAGTACCCATAACGTCCAAAAGCGTGCCAGTTTTTTTTCGGAGATCTGTTGAGTTTTCAGTCGTTCACAACACCATTGATCATAATTATGAAACATCAACAACTTTCTGTCGACTGCATTAACCACAATAACTTCAGGCTTCGTATGAAGAATACGGTCAGATTGGATTCGGAACTCCTATAATAGTTGTGTTTGTTCATTCTTCATAAACCTTTTATAAAACTTTCACTTACAGCCACGCCATATCTATATTTCCTGCTGTCTTGTTTAATTGATTTTTCGACATGTCCATTGTGGCGCTGCTGGTGTTCTTTTTAGCAATTATTATTATTATTATTATTATTATTATTATTAGAGAAATGTTCATTCTGGCTTGCATTTGTTTTATAAATACATGTCAGGTCTTAATTAAGTGAAAGGTGTGATCTTTTATTGTTTCTAGTTTTGTATGTTTTGCTTTACGGTATATCAACCCCAATGGGTCATTTAATGCTGACAAGATGTTTATTGCTGGTAATATAAAAAATTAATACATTTACTGATTTGAATCTATTATATTGTTAATTAATTTTAAATAAAGTATTTGAAACCAGGTAACGACATGAGTGGAAATAGTTTGTTTTGTGCTAGTTTTACGGTATATCAACACTTCAATGGGTTATTTAATGGCGACAACATTTTGATATTTTGCAGTATTTTTTTTTTTCTAACATTCCAAAAATGTCTGACCTTGATTATGTTTTTTTTTTGCCAAAAATGTATTACTGGTAATTTCTTTTTTTAAAAATGTATTGCTGGTAATAATGTATTACTGGTAATAATTGTTTTTTTCAAAAATTCATTGCTGGTAATAATTTTTTACAAAAATGTATTTCTGTTATTAAAATCTATTTTTACACTTTCATATGTTTTGACCCCAGCTTACGGGTTAGCAATTTGCCCATAGCTGGGACCTTAACAGGTGCTACCACCGGCCTGAGGATTGGACCTGGGAACACCAGTCAATTAAGAGTTGGTTCTACGTTCCTCAATACCTCCTGATCACAGGCTCTTCTCTGATATTGATGCAGTTTATCGTAAATATAGTACACGCCTCATTTAGGGGGGCAAATATATCATGCATTGATGCAGTTATTGTATTTGAAACCCCGGCACGACAGTGCGGTTATTGTTTCCGCTTAATTAAACAAAAAGACACCTATTAACAAAAAGACAAAAAATTAAAATGATAGATAATCTGGAGCAGGAAATGAGCTGAACTTTTTAGAACTATTTCAGGGATGTTGTTGATTTGTTGTTGAGTTCTTTCTTTATAAGACCCAAAGCTCCAACCACATCGAGAACAGTTTTCAGTCTCTAAGTGCCGCAATTTGTTTTATATTTCCATCTCCGTTATTTGGTATCTGCTTAGTTTTTCAAACACCATCGCAAAGATAATTATGTCTCTTGGCACGCTCATGTCCGTCAGTGATTAAGCTTTTTCTTTTCTCTATTTGATAACAATGAAATTATTATCATTACCATTCTTTATAAAAATTTGAGCCTTTCAGATTTGGTTAATTTGACCGTTACGTCCTGCCAATATCTCATAAAGAATGGTCGATTCTGTTTTGATCGCGTGGAACGAGGGGAAAGACTCTACTTGGTTCCAATGAGAAAAAGAAAGAAAACAAGGGAGACAGATGTATTTAACGTCTTTTTTCAATTTTTCATCAATAATGATTTATTCCGTACAAGTTGCATTGGAAAAACAAAACACATATTGAGATGTTCGTGACTTTCTAAAGAAAAGTTGAAAGAAATGTTTTCTGGCTGTTTTAGGAATAAAAGATTTTAAATAAATCAAAAAACAAACAGAAACGCTACTTTGTTTTCAGAAAGAAAGAATTCACAGAAGTGTTTAGGAAAATTTCAATGAAATGGAAAATTTTTCAATTTCAAACCATTTTTTTACTTTCCCTAAAATAACGACCAGAAATAAATTCAAAACATGTTTTATTAGAGACTTTATACTTGGTTTTTTGTGAGAAAATTAAACAAAGAAAAAATAAGAGAAAAGAAGATCTCATCATTCTAACGGCTGTTTCAATGAAATGGAAAATGTTGTCAAAATATGTTCATTTGTAAACACTTTTTAAAATAACGACAGACATTCATATTAATGATTGTTATTACAATATTTTGTTAAAGTTGCTAAGCTCAAATATTTAACGATGCACCAGGGGAATTTATACGAATATGTTATTCTCAGAGAACTCGCCATGTGCTTATTCAATATTTATCTTAATAATTAAGATTCAATAGAAAATGAAAATAAGAAAACCGTGAAATTTTCACGTTTTTTTATGGTTAATTATTATTATTATTACTATTATTATTATTTCCTTTGATTTCTGTTGTATACTCATTTCTTTCCGGGTCCAAAACAGAAGACCTAAGGTCAGAAATATCATCATGACATTTTCCACTGTTCATTTAAAAAAAAAATAAAAAACCTAAGATCACACACATTTTAAATAGATAAACCTTCGTAAGGTGTGAACTGTATTTGTGAGTACATTTTTTTTGTATTTCTTTAAGGCATCAAAGGAATTTTCAATTGAGTCTATCGGAGCCTTTTACAATCAATCCGAGTACTCCAACTACAACTGGAATTATTGATGTCCTCATGTGCCACATAGTTTTTAGACTTCCACTTCAAGATCCTTGGATTTTGATAGTTATTTTAAGATATTCAAAGATACATTACAATCTGCAGGGACTGCAATGTCAATAGAAAAGCACATTCTGTTTTTGTAGTCTTTGATCACAATGTCTGGGCGATTTGCTTTGTTTATTCTTTGTGTATTGTAAAATCCCATAAAACTCTTACAGGTGCAATATCTGTAACTGGATGTGGGCGGTGTTCATAGCAATTCCTTACAGTAAAAGTAGCATATTTTCCAATGTAGATATTGGCCCACACTGTCATGTCGAGTTTTATATACAGTAGGTGCTAATACCGTGCAACTTGATACAGGATAGGCAATTGTTTCTGGATATTGATCTCAGACTCTGCATTTCGGATTAACATAACTTTTCAGTATGTTTGTTTGGTAATTTCTAGTTGGTAAACGTTGGTCCTGTGCATCAAGTCAAAAACATTCGGCTTGTAATCCTGCACTACGTAGCCACTGATAGGCACAGGTTTGTCTATATCAGCTTGTTTTGTACGGGCAGAGTATTGACCATGAAGAGGTTTATCTTGACGTCGTTTCTGCATTTGGTCAATTGCATTTGCTTTTGCTTCTTTTCGTAGGTTTATGGTGGTTTACACGCACTAAACTTCACCCGCTTGAAATTCCATTTTGAATTTGTTAACTTACTTTATTACTGAATAAAGTTTCTTATTTCAGTCATGTTCTTTAATAAATAAACATCCAGTTTTCTGTAGTTTCCAGGTATCTTTTGTAAGACAGTTCTAGTTGAACTAATCCTCTGCCTCCTTTGGATCAGGACACACACAAACGATCAACATCAGAATTAGGATGATGCGATGTCAATTAAGAAGCTTTCTCGTTTAACATCCATTCACTTAATGTCAGCTATGGTCCAGTTAATGATGTTGAAACTGTATTGTACCACAGGGACAGCCAAAACCTTTATGGTTGGTATTCTGTTTTGTGAATTCAACTCCGTACTTAACACCAGACGCTCACGCTTTTAATATTCTTTTCTTACTTGCTCTTTCATTTGGGCATACTATATTACATTTCCTTTGCTTACTCCTAGGTATTTATAGGCTCCTTCTTGTTCCAGTACCCTAATTTTTGTGACAAAATCTAAACCTATATCATCTCGTCTGGTCTGTGATCGCCAGTTGCTTTAGTTCAATCGTCTTCTTCTCTTAGTCGGTGTCGCGAAATGTTCTTTGGGCTCAGAGACGAAATGCATTAACAAAGAGAACG